CATTCTTCTGGTATTCTCTGCTTTCTGCCAAGATCCATCTAACATGGGTTTGTGGTCTGGGCTGAGCCTTGGGCCTCTGGAGTTTCCCTCCACTCTGGAAGTTCACTGACTGACTGATGTCTTAGTGGCGGTCTTGTCTTGGTGGCAGTCAGACAAGGGAAGTTTTGGGGGTCCTTTTTTGTGTGTTACTGTTGTGACCAAGGGCAAAGGCTGAGGCCTGCTCGAAGGTATGACTTTAAAATCCTGTATGGTCCTCAGTCCAGATTATTAATTTTAGAATAATATTCTTTTTAAAGACACAGTAACCATGTTTCTATTTGCTGTATTGAACAACTTGGAGTTGCTGTGATGCTGAACACTATACCATAATTTTGTGAAACGCCATAATAGTTATTGATTATGTACAGTGTTTGGATGAGCTGCCAGATTGATTCATGTTGGCAAGTAGGAGTGACATCTACTTCCTAAGCAATATGTCTCTGGGAACTATACAAACTTTCTTATAAATGAACAGAAATGATGTTAATTATAGAACAGAGTTCAGGTCTTTTGTGCAAAGCTTACTCTGAGTCATATTCAACTCGACAACACTTAACCATATCTGGGGGAATATTCTTGCATTTTGCACATCATTCTTTGTCAATGTGCTGTATGAGGTAACCTGGATTTGCTGTGATGCTGAACCTTTTACCACGGGGATATAAAATACCATAATGGTTTCCTGTTGTGGACAGTGTTTGGTGGGGCCCCCAGATGTAAAACAGGTCAGAAAGCAGGTGTGGCATCCACTTCCTAAACCATATGCCTCTGGAAACTCTGTGAACTTGGAGAAACAACGATATCTATGGAAGGGTTTCAGGTCTTTTGTTCATAGAGTTGCTATGAGTCAATCTCGTCTCAATGGCAATCAATAACAACAACAACAATATACTCCCTATTTATAAGATGATTTATGTAAAAACAACCACTTTTTATAGTCTGTATCAAATCACTAATGCCATTTATATTTCTAAAATAAATTTTAAAATTAAGTTCTTAGAGTACTGGATGCTTTAAATAGCAAGTTTAGTACTCAAAACAGATTTTAATTAACATGAACAAATTATTTATTTGCAAAATTTATTAAAATATTATCACATAAATTTTTCTTTGTAATTAGGTTTCATAGCTATGACAGCTATGATTTTAAAAAAACAAATATTAAATGGAAAATAGATATAATTTATAGTATTATATTTTCTCCAACAATGATAGACCTTAAATCTTTAAATGTAACTATCATTTTGTTTTATGTCTAATAGTACATGAAACATTTTAATACTTACAAAAAAAATAAGCATTATTATTGTAGAAAACATTGCCAAGAAGAAAATTACTTATGCAAGTCTGTTCCAGTAAATATTTAATGTCTTTTAAAAGCAAATTTTTAAACTGTCGTACCTATTCGACATTGTAAAGATGTATTCATTTTCTTTTGTGCCAATTCAGCTTTCAATATGCGTAAATCAGAAACAGCTTGCTTTCTCATCTATAAAGGAAATTTTTAAAAAAAGCTTAATGTTACCCTTCTTAAAAGGAATTATTACAATTTTCCTGTAAAAATTATTATTATTATTATTTTTTAAAAGCTCTATCTACTACCTCTAGCCTTTTGGCTAGAATCAAGAGTAGCAGTTGCTCTTCTCAGTTAAAAGCTTTATCTTCTCTCTTTGGCTGTCAGCTCCTTGCTACCACTGATAAACCTTAAACACATAGAGCAAAATCTTATTTAATAATAAGTTTTACTATTTAATAGATATGATGCCAGATAATTTCAACTGTTAAAAACAAGGACAGCAACTTTACGTTTCTGTATTTTTAGTTTCAATTTACTTGGCTCTAAAAGTCAAGGCTTATCAAGAATGTGGCTAGTGAAGCATGCAGGACCCATAGTTTTGTAGCACACAGGAGCAATGATTTTGTAAATTACTACCTAACATAGGAGGGACTGGAGAGCATTATGCTATGTGAGCTAACTCGGTCTCATAAGGACAAATACTGTATAGGACCATTATTGTAGAGAGTGTATGAGGAGCCAAGGAAAGGAGGGTTGGGGCCTTAAATACAGGGTCACACAATTTGATGTGTGGAAGGAGGGATTGGTACAGGAAAAGTCCTTGTGTGAAAAACAATGTATATGAACTTTATGAACTTTGTATATAGACCAGTATAAAATAAAATTTGTTAAAAAAGAATGTGGTTATGGAAAAGAATCCAGAATTTCTTATTCAATCTGGTAGCCACTTTTCAAATTTAAATATTGATTTAAGGCACTTAAATATATTTATTTAGGTATTTAAATATGATGTTGTTGTTAGGTGCTGTCGAGTCGAGTATGACTCATAATGACCCTACGAAGAATAGATCTGAAATCTGTCCTATCATGTGCCATCTTCACACTTTCTGACACACTAGAGTTCACTGTGGCAGTCTGTGTCAATCCACCTAGTCAGGGGTCTTCCTCTCCTTTGCTGATCCCCCACCTGTCCAAGCATCACGTCCTTCTCCAAGGAATGGCCCCTTTTAGCAATATGCCAAAAGTATGTGAGGTGAAGCCTCATCATTCTTGCCTCCAAAGAGAACTCTGGCTGCACTCTCTCCAAGACATATTTGTTTGTTCTTTTGGCCACCCAGGGAGGCTCAGTGCTCTTTTCCAATATCACGGCTCAAAAGCATCAACTCTTCTTCTATCATCCTTATTCACTGACCAGCTCTCACATGCATAGCAAGTAATCAGAAGGAGTATGGCCTGAACCCAACACATCTTAGTCCTGAAAATGACATCATTAGTCCTCAGTAATTTGGAGAGGTCCCTAACTGCAGATATTCCAGTGTAATACATCTCCTTATTTCCTGACTCCAGGTACCAAGAATGTTAACTGTGGATCTAAGCAAGATGAAGCTGTTGATCATTTCAATCTCTTCTCAAACCATAATTATGATGACTTTTGGTCCAGTCATAAGAATCTTTGCTTTCTTGACATTAAGATGCAATCCATACAGAAGACTGCATTCCTTGGTCTTCTGCAACAAATGCTTCAAGGCCTCCTCAGTTTCAGCAACCAAGGTTGTGTTATCTGTATAATTCAGGTTATTGATGAGTCTCTGATACTGATGCTACATTTCTCTTTAATTAAAATGTAAAATTCATCTCTTCAATTATGCAAGTTCTCAATATTTTATGTAACTATTGTTGTGGTTGCTGTGATGCTAAACAATGTGACACTGATGTGCCAAATGTGATAAAGGTTACCATGGTGAAAAGTGTTTGGTAGAGCTTCCTGATTAAAACAAACTTGGAAGTAGGAGTGGCATCCACTTCTGAAATGACTTGCTTCTGGAAAGTCTATGAACATGGAGAAATGATGAAAGTTATACACATGTTGAGGTCTTTTGTTCATAGGGTCACTATGAATTGTCTATGGCTTGACGACACTTAACAACAATTGTTGTTGTGTACCATCGAGTCAGAACCAACTCATAGCTAATCCTATGGAAGGTTTTCAGAGGCAGTTAATCGCACAGGAGGAGATTGCCCATCCTTCTCCTGCAGAAGAACTGGTAGTATTAAACCATGTGCTTTCAGGATGGCAGCACAGTTTCTTCCCCTCGGCCACCAGAGCTCTTATGTAACTAGTGGCTAACATTTTGGACAGTTCAGAGAAATCAACATTTTCCATTTCCACATAATGCAAAATTCTGTTGAGCAGTGCTGATTCTATGATGAGGTTATTATCCTGTCATTAAGCTAGTTGTGGCAAAGGTGAATTGAGAATATTCATATAATTATCAAGCTTATTCTCTTGTCCTGTGTAGACACTTGTGTGAAAATGTATAAACTCCTGTTTATATTCAAAAAGAGCCTTTTATAGTATATATTCATTGTTGTTGTTATGTGCCACTGAGTCACCTGAGACTTACAGCGACCCTATGTACAACAAGCCTGGAGGCAGGAGTGGCACCCACTTCTGAAATGGCTTGCGTCTGGAAACCCTATGAACAATGCTCAGGCCTTTCTTTCATAGGGTCACTATGCGTCTTCTATGACTCGATGGCACCAAACAAGAACAACATATACAACAGCCCTAAATCCTGCTCTATCTTGTGCCAATCTTACTGTCTCTGACAAACCTACCCTCATTACCCCAGTCACTGAATCAATCCATCTCTTCAAGGGTCTTCCCAAACATGCCATCCCTCTCCAAGGAGTCCTCCACTCTATCATGATGCTGCCAATTGGCCCAGTGGTGAGAATCTTTGTTTTCTTGATGTTAAGCTTCAATCCATACTGAAGGCTGCAGTCCTTGACATTC